ATCATATATAAAAATATATATAAATATATATATTTTTATGTATAATATATAAAACTGAAATAAAAATGAACAAAATAATCTAAATAAAATAAACTAGAAATTGTATAAATTCACCAAAAATATGTACGAAGGATCATCTTATATAAATACGTCGTGTCTCACTCATGTGTATTTAATCTCGTCGATCAATTTTCACGTAATACAAAAATATTTTATATATTTTCTTTTTTATATAGAGTACATTAGAAGATTACGACAAGGTTCCGCTAAATGTCTTTGGTTCAGCTATGTTACGAGGTATGGGGTGGAAACCTGGCGAAGGAATTGGTAAAAATCCAAAGTAAGATCCTTTTTCGTTTTAGATTGAGCATGAGTGGATGTTGCGTTTTTTTATTTCAACATATATTTTCAGATATAGTGTACTCGTTTTTTTTTTCTACATTTTTATATAGTTTTTATTTTTACATTTTATATGTTGTGTACTTGGCAGGCTTGTAACACCCATTGTGCCTGAATTAAGACCCATAGGGATGGGACTTGGTGCAGACAAAACAGGATTGCAAAAACAGGATGAAAAGACTCAAAAAGAGGAGGAAGAGTTACGAATACAAAAAGGAAGTTTTATAAAAATTATTGCTGGCAAGCGGTCCAATGCATATGGTCAAATAGAAGGCTTTGATGATGCAGGAAGATTAATCGTCAAGATGGCACTGAATGGAAATACCATTTCTGTGAATGAATGCATAGTTCAAGTAGTAACAAAGCCGGAATACTTGAAAAATTCTAAAGTTTTAAGTTAGTAAATAAAGCAAGTTATTTCTTGAGGAACTTTTAAAATATTTGTAAAAGTATAAATTTTCGTAATCATATGACATTTTACAATGTTTGTATTTAAACAGGTTGTATTAAACAGGTTACTAAAGTTTACTAAAGTTTAATGATTGATTACAATTTGGAGTTGTAAAATTTTAAAGATTTTAATCTCAGTGTATAGCTGCAACCTGTTATACATATAAGATATCAATATTTAATCAATATGTAATTATATACTTGACACTTTTTAAAAGTTCCTGCTATTCATAATTCACTCACTTGTATGAAATTATTGCAGTTTTAGTCTTTAGTATTCGACGAAATTAATTTCAGATGCTGCTAAATATGAAGAACATAAGAAAAAGGAAGGTGTAAATAAACGAAAATCTGCATCGTTGGAAAATTTAAGCAACAATGATAACAGCGATTCAGATATACTTGATAGGAAAAAAAAACACAGAGAAAATGAACGTGAATACAAATCGAAGAAATCAAGTAGAAAATCAGAAATCCATCGAAGAGATTTATCCGATAGCGAGAATAGTAGTGATACACATAGCAATAATAAGAAAAAAAATAAAACTCGAAAGCGCTCCAATAGTAGCGATAGAATTAAAAGAGCAAAGAAATCCAAGAAACACAAAGGAAGAGATAAGGAACGACTAAAGGATAAAATATCGGGATCTTTTGAATCTATCGATAGAAGAAAATCCAAAAAACATAGGAGATCTCGATCATCTAGTAGACGATAATCACGTGTACATAATATTGTATAAAAATCGTAACGTATAACGTATAAATATTTTAAGTTCTCTACTGACTTGTACAATTTTGTTTGTATCCTTTTTTTAAATAAAACTTATTTTTTCATGTGATTTAATCTTGTTCAGATATACAAATTTCTAATTATACTTTTTTTACACATTCTTTAATTTAATTTAATGTTACATTCGTAGGCTCGAGTAGATGTTTATTAGTAAAAAAAGTTAGGCCATAACACAGTTAATAAACTACATTTACACGAATACTCCTAATCGAGTTTAATACATCCATAGTTATGAAACTGACCAATCATAATTATTCCTCTGAAAAATGGAACTGTAGTCAGTTTCTCTAACTATGAATTATTATTAAACTCAATAAGAGTGCCCGTATAAACGTAGTTAAAGATTAACAAAAAAATTTACGCGCGAGTATAAATTGAAGAAATTGTATAATTTAATGGATATTGACAATTAAAATTTAAAATTCAAATTTAATTTCGACAATTCAAATTTAAATCCTATCTTAATTACATTGATAATATGGCCTATAAGTTTACATCGTGCACTTTTAATACGCATACTAACTAACTTAAATAACTTTCTATTAAATTATTTTAATTTCGACGATGCACGTAAACATATACACGATATGTCATTAATCATTTAAATTCTAGATGCATATTATGTACCAGCTTAGTACATCATTCTTTAAATGTATTGCCGAAATTAAGATAATTTAGTAGAAAGTTACTAGGCGTTAGTTAAATGCCTAGTAAATAAATAGACGTACATTAAACGCTCGATGTAAAAGGGATCAATTATTACTCATCACAATGTAATCTTCAAATATCGAGAAATCATTAAATCCGTTTTTTTCTTTTTCTCCCTCTCTCTTTCTTTACCGCGCCATATATATATATATATATATAAATCAATTTGATTAAATGTATAAGGAAAAATCTTATTTTTTTTTTATTATGTAGATAATACTTGCAATTTTTTTCCTTACGTCATAAACAGAAATAAACAGAAGGAAACTTAACCTATTATGTTACGGGCGAGTATCGCGCAGTGCCGAATAAGAATAAGAACAATGACTAGTATGTAGTGTGTGATTATTCTCTCTTTATGACATACAAAATTTGAAATTGTGCGTTTAATATAAAAAAATCAAAAAAATCAGGAAAACGCGCAAAATTCTTTTGCTATATATTGTTACCAAGTAATCTTTGAAATGAACAAATGAGCGACCTCAGCGATCGCTGATATATATATAGTTCTGTATAGTTTTGTAAAACGCATATGCAGGATATTATTTTTGTTTAATAGTTCGATGAATAAGAATTAGGCTAAAATCATGCGAAGAATACATAATGCGCATTATGCATTTTACGGAACATAGCCTATATGTACATATCGATACGTATACTGATCCGAGCTTCGATTGACATTTTAAATCAAATGACATTACAATGACATTACAATATTATATATTTTATGGCAGGCTCGAAAAATGTTGATGATGTGTAACAGTGTTTCGATTAACTCGATTTAACCTTGTTTATTAAACTTTCAGCCTTGCGTCTGGCATTGGTGCAGCTGTCCGTTGGTGATGATAAGGCAACAAACGTCTCGCGAGCAGTTTCTTTCATCGAGCGCGCAAAACAAGAGCGAGCCGACATCGTAACACTGCCTGAGTGTTTCAACTCGCCATATGGAACATGTAAATGAATGAAACACGATATCTTTTTTAAATTACTTGCATAAATGTTTTTCTTTTAATTACGGTATTATCATAAATAATGAATATCTCGAGCAAACGTTTTACTTTGTTCGTAGGTTCACGAAAAAAAGCTAGTTTTTTTAAAATTAAAATTTAGAACAAAATTCTGATTGACCATTGTTACTACACAAGTATGCATCTGCATGCGAGAAATACAAAAAATAAAAAAATATAACAAGAGGAAAAGATCGTGTTATTTTTAACATAGATGTTTTATATATAATATGTATATATTATATAATAATAAGTATTCGATGCATATCTTGCAAATATCTGCGAATTATCAAGTCTATTATTTAATATACATCTTAAATTAATAAAATACTCAGCAAATGAGAAAATGGATTAAAATGGATTGAAATTTTTTTCTATCCGAATGCGTATTTTAAATAGCGAATACTGTTTTGGATTTAATTGGATTCAATTGGATGCAATTGGATTGAAAAACTGCATTTCCTATTCAAAATTTTGAATTGAACAGTATCATAATGTTTGTTGCGTGCACAAAAAAACTAATATAATTTTTAGATTGAAAGACATAGAGATAAGCTCCAATTCTTATAAATAAAAATGCTGCATTCAGGATTGAAAAGCATTCATTTTAACATTCG